GAAAAAAAGAAAAATATATTTAAATAAAAGATTTCTCTAAATATGTAATGTTAATCAAAATATACCACCGTGGCAATGCATAGAAATGTGATGATGACGAGAAGTTAAACATGCAAGTGCGCATGCATACCCGCACGCACGCACACGGACAATTAAGAACACACACACATACGCACATACATACATACTTTCGTACATGTAAATATACTTACATAAATGAATAGAGAAAAGTTAATAAATAAAAACTAATTAAACAAACTGAGTAAACAAACGTTTAAACAAACAAAACCCAACTCACTAATCCAATAAATCAATCAATAAATAACAAAATGAAATAAATAAATATATAAATACATAAATAACTATATAAACAAACTGTTCATACATCGCCCCGATTCTTCCGTTGGTTACAATTCCAGAGCAAAAAAAATCAATGCAATATTCGATCAAATCTCTGTCTTCAAAAATCGCCATTGCGTCCGTGAGTGCATGGGCGTCCGTGGGTACATGGTTGTTCGTGAGAGTATGGGCGTTCGCGAGTGCCAGGGCGTTAGTGAGTGCCTGGGCGTTCGGGTTTGCATATGCGTCCGTGCAAATGTGTACGTTTGTTTTACACGCGCGTTTAAGTACCACAGATGCTAGAATATTCGCATTTTACGAAGCGGAAGACCGTGGGTGTCACACGGGTGTGTCACACGGGTGCGGCCGGATGACGGACGATTGGGCGCGGACCACAGACGATTGGGCGCGTATCACGGACGAGTTAGTGGGTGCATGTTAACAGAAGCATCAGTGCTGGGAACAGACGAGTGGGCCCGGATAACGCACAAGCGGGCAAGGCCTATACAAGCAAATACATAGACTCGGCGGACGCAAGCAAGGCGAGGCGAGCGCGAGCAAGAAGCCCCTCCGTGACCCTCGCTAAACCGCCGCGAGACCTCGTTCCGCCTCGACCGCGGCTTCGGCTCGATACGTAATGGCACGAGGAGCACGTCGCACGCAGGGGGCCGCGCCGAGCCAAGAGGAGTCGCGGAGGACGAGGTTCTGCTGGGAAGGAGAGCGGGAGGGAGAGAAAGAGAGAAAGAGAGAAAGAGAGAGAGAGAGAGAGAGAGAGAGAGAGAGAGAGAGAGAGAGAGAGAGAGAGAGAGAGAGAGAGAGAGAGAGAGAGAGAGAGAGAGAGAGAGAGAAGGAAAGGGAGAATAAAACAAAGCAAAAGAGGCAAATACTCGGCCAAGTAAGAGAAAATTAAGAAAGCAAGTTACAAACCAACATAAATGAAGTCAAAACCAATGTACTCCCTCTCCCCCCACCCTTGACCCTCCTAGCCCCTCGTCCCTGGGGGAATGGCCAACCGCGGTCCGGCCACTCCGAGCTAATCTCAACGACGCGACGGAGGCGGAGGCGGCGAGGGCGACGACGGAGGGAGGCAGCCCCGGCAGCACCTTCGCCACGCCCGTTATGAAAAGCCCCTCCTCCAATCGCGTTCGCCCTCGGTCTGTGCCGCTCCTGCAGGTGCCGCTCCGCCTCATGCACTCGCCACCCCTCGCCCTCCTGCCTCCCGCGGCCCTGAAATAGCGCCCCCATCGATTGGCGACGCCGCAACCGCTAATTTGCTGTTGATATTAATGTGCCGCGTCTCATGCCCAGGACGAAGAGGGGAGGAGGCGAGGGGGCACGCCTTCAAGGAGTAGCCAACGCGAGAGAGAGAAAGAAAAGAAAAGAGAAAGAGAAAGAGAAAGAGAAAGAAAAAGAAGAAGACAGAGAGAGAGAGAGAGAGAGAGAGAGAGAGAGAGAGAGAGAGAGAGAGAGAGAGAGAGAGAGAGAGAGAGAGAGAGAGAGAGAGAGAGAGAGAGAGAGAGAGAGAGAGAGAGAGAGAGAGAGAGACAGAAAGACAGAAAGACAGAAAGACAGAAAGACAGAAAGACAGAGAGAGACAGAGAGAGAGAGAGGCAGAAAAGTTAAGACACAGAGATAGCCTAGGTATATTAAGTCCGTACCCGTGCCTTCCCCTAGCGTGTACGACATAAACAAAATACCCAAACATACATCCCTATACCGCCACATACGTCCATAAATCATGCACCCTATATAAGCGATCGCACCCGAGGGTCTCAGAATGCCCTCAACCCCCCCTTCACTCCCACACTCCCACACTCCCCCACCCCCACCCCACCCACACCCCCCAGCACGAGAGCACGACGAGCTGACGGCGGAATGAAAGATTCAGCGGGGCGACCGCGGGTGGCGAGGGAGCACCTCCCTGGAGACGTCGCCCGGCCCCCGCGGATGCATACGCCATGAGGGGAGGGAGGCGAGGGAAGGAGGGGAAGAGGGGGTGATGGGAATGAGCGGGTGAGGGGATGAGGGGGGCGAGAGAATGAGGGGGTGATGGGGGTGAGGGAAAGAGGGGGTGATGGGGGTGAGGGGAAGAGGGTGTGATGGAGAAGAGGGGGTGATGCAGGTGAGGGGGATGAGGGAATGAGGGGGCGAGGGAAAGAGGGGGTAAGGGAATGAGGGGAAGAGGGGTGATGGGGTTGGGGGGATGAGGGGAAGAGGGAATGAGGATAAGAGGGGGTGATGGGAATGAGAGGAAGAGGAGGTGAGAGCATGAGGAGACTGAGGGGGTGAGAATTCTGAGGACTTGAGGGGAGATGAGAACCTGTGGCTTTCTTGTTTGGTGGGATAAGGGAATGAGCGACTGGGATGAGGGGACACAGGGAAGGAGAGAGAGCATGGGGGGGGGGGGGGGTTGCGTGAAGAGACGCGAGGGGAAAGGAATGAGGAGATGAGGGCACAAGGGGATAAGATGAATAAGATGATGAGGGGGGGGGCAGGAAAGAGAGGGCAGGGGGAAGGAGGACAAACGGAATGGGGGAATGAATGAATGAATGAATAAATGAGGGAACAAGGAGGCCACGGGTAAAGGGGATAAGGAAATGCCGAGGAGAGGGAAAGCAGAAATACAGAGCAATAAGGAATAAAGAAAAAAAAAGCATGAATAAAGGGACGGAATGAGGTGGATGAAAAAAAAAATCCCCCAGCCAGGCGAGACAAGAGTGTGCTAAGCCTTCTTCACTCCTGGTTCTCTCTCTCTCTCTCTCTCCCTCTCCCTCTCCCTCTCCCTCTCCCTCTCTCTCCCTCTTTCTCCCTCTCTCTCTCCCTCTTTCTCCCTCTCTCCCTCGGTCAGCGATTCTCGGGATTCCGCTCAAGAGAGACTCAGCATGGGAAGTCTGGCTCAGCTCTTGAGTTTTCCCCGTGATCGCTAAAAAGGAAAGATGGGGGGGGGGGGGGAGCAAGGAGGGAGGGAGGGGAAAGGAGGAAGGAGGGAGGGAGGGAGGAGGAGGAAGGAGGGGGGAAGGGAGGGAGGGAGGGAGGGAGGGAGGGAGGGAGGGAGGGAGGGAGGAGGAGGGAGGAGGAGGAGGGAGGGAGGGGGTTGGAAGAGGATGGAGGGAGGGGGTAGGAGGAAGGAGGGAGGGAGGGAGGGAGGGAGGGATGGAGGGATGGAGGGAGGGAGGAGGAAGGAGGGAGGGGGTAGGAGGAAGAAGGAAGGGAGGGAGGGAGGGAGGGAGGGAAGGAGGGAGGATGTTCGAATAAGCCTATAATTACAGAGAATTTCCCAGGCCTATGATACAGAGAATTTCCCAGGGCCTACAATAAAGATAATTTCCTAGGCCTGTAATACAGACATTTTTTCGGGTTTATAATGCATAATATTCCCCAGGTCTCTAATACAGGGAATTTCCCAAGAATAATACAGAGACTTTCCCCTCTTTTCCCTCTTTTTTCCCTTCAACTACAACCGTCACCTTGTCAAAAAAAGGAGATATAGAAACAAAGAAACTCATAAAAAATAAACTGAACATGTCAACCTATCCTTCGCCCTCACACCTGTAAATAAAAAAATAAATGACAATCCATTAATCCCGTTCAAAAATGCCGCGAAAAAAGTATACCTGTCTAACGGTTACCCGATTCCTTTCTTTTTTTTTTTCTTTCTTTCTTTCTTTCTCTCCCTCCCTCACCCCACCTCTCTCTCTCTCTCTTTCTCTTTCTCTTTCTCTCTCTCTCTCAGACAGAGAGACAGAGAGACAGAGAGACAGAGAGAGAGAGAGAGAGAGAGAGAGAGAGAGAGAGAGAGAGAGAGAGAGAGAGAGAGAGAGAGAGAGAGAGAGAGAGAGAGAGAGAGAGAGAGAGAGAGAGGGGGGGGGGGGATAGCTTCCCGACCCTGCCCTGGCACAGCCCAAACGAGAAATACGGGTGAAGACGAAAGAAAAAAGGGAAAAAGATCAATCTGCAAGACACACCTAACAGTTACCAAACCACCTGCATGGAAGGCGGGGTGGAGGAGGAGGAGGAGGAGGAGGAGGAGGAGGAGGAGGAGGAGGAGGAGGGGGAGGAGGGGGAGGAGGAGGAGGAGGAGGAGGAGGAGGAGGAGGAGGAGGAGGAGGAGGAGGAGGAGGAGGAGGGAGAGGAGGAGGGGGAGAAGGAGGAGGAGGAGGAGGAGGAGGATGTGAATGATGATGAGGAACAGGAGGAAGAGGATCAAAAGGAGGAGGAAGGGGATGAAGAGGAAAAGGAAGAACGGGAAGCCCAATTGGCGGTAGGGTAGCTAAAAATTTAAAAAAATCAAGAGGAAAGAAAACCCAAAATAGAAAAAGAAAAAAAAAGTGACAGGAGATTATAAAAAAGAAAAAAAAAGAGGAAGACGGTGACCCAACACACCTTCCACTCATTCATCTCACTTCCCACCTAAACCTCCGCCCGCCAGCCCCACCCACCTCTCCTCCTTCCCCATCCATCCTCCCCAAACGAACACACACACACACACACACACACACACACACACACACACACACACACACACACACACACACACACACACACACACACACACACACTCACACACTCTCTCTCTCTCTCTCTCTCTCTCTCTCTCTCTCTCTCGCTCACCCCCGCATTTAGAAACATGACTGAAATCTCGAGTATTCGGGTATCTCCCC